ACCCTGTCACTGTCCTCACCCTTGATATCTGTTGCCACCGTCTCTCAGGCGTCCTTCTCTGATCCTTGGGCTTTCTCTCCTGCTCCCTGCAGGTTATCACATTTTATTTTTTAAGAAAAACAGTAAAAAGTTGTGAAATGTAAGTCGTATTAGAGAGGTATAGAAACAACCACCTAGAAGCAAAGAATTCTCAGAGCAGACCCTGCAAGACCACCTTCCAGACCGGGACTGGCAGGGGCCCTGACCTCTGCTCCCCTTTTCCTGTGTGGTGACCGTGCATGGGGTGTGGGCTCCGCCTGTCCATTGGATGAGATGCCCTGTGCAGTAATCAGGGAGGGGCCGCTGGAACAGACAGGACCCTGGGAAGAAGGGAACTCAGTGTTGAGGGATGGGGAGAGGTTGCCATGACGTTGCCCAGCAGCTGACCCACCCCCATCCCGAGGAACTCTGGAAGGCCCCTGAGCACTCGCTGCTTCTGGGAGCCTGGACTGCCCCCCCTCCAACAGGTTCAGCCTCACCTGGAGCCACGAGTCTCCGTGGCACCTGGGGGCTCACCAGCGCTTCCACAGGCCTATCTGCGCAGTGCAGAGCCCGGTCTAGAAACTGTTCACTTCTGAGTCTCTCTTGATAGGGGTGTTCACTTTTCATAATGAGAGAAAAAAGAAGCTGTGAATGCTCTGCAGTGAGCTGCGTTCAGGTGTAATCTTCTCTGCTTCCCTGGGAATAAACTATTGCGTGCTGCCCTTGAGGACAGAGCCTGCCCATTGGATAGTATAGTCGGAGAACCTTCTGGAAGGAGCGGGGTGGGTCAGGGCCCTGGCGCTTTGTCTCGTGCCTTGCCAGCAGGCCTGCCCTCACCTTGCCCGTCGACCGCCCCTCCTCAGGTACGAGATCAAGGACCTGCTGAGCCACGCCTTCTTCGCAGAGGACACGGGAGTGAGGGTGGAGCTGGCAGAGGAGGACCACGGCAGGAAGTCTACCATCGCCCTGCGGCTCTGGGTTGAGGACCCCAAGAAACTGAAGGGCAAGCCCAAGGACAACGGGGCCATAGAGTTCACCTTTGACCTGGAGAAGGAGACGCCGGATGGCGTGGCGCAGGAGATGGTACCGTGACGCTCGCTTGCGGAGGGCGGGTGGTGGGTCCCGGTAGATGCGGGGTATTGCGCGAAAGCGTGTGGTTTCCAAAGATCAGGGCGAGGTCAGAGCAGGGGTGCGGCCCTATGGCGAGCGTGCAGCGGGGGACTGGGGGCTCCAAGGCAGCACGGCGAGGGGTCCAGTGGGGTCGTGAGGGGTCCCGTGGGGTGGTGGTGAGGGGTCCCGTGGAGCCGTGCAGGGAGGGACTGGGGGCTTGGGTGGATCGGGAAGGGCCCGGGTTTTGACCAGGGTTTTGCTGCTTTTGTGTGAATGTGGCTTTGGTTTGATTGTCCCTTTGTTGCTGAGGGCACTGTGTCCCGCTGCAATGCTGCAGAAGAGGTGTGTGTGAGAAAGGAGCTGCTGATTTTTGCTGTAGAAAGTGAGCTTGAGTGAAAATCTGCGTGCTCGCCGCAGGGGAGGCAGCGCTAGGCCGTGCCTCTCGTCGGCACAGAAGCGCACGCCCTCTTTTCCTGCATCTAGCACGCCTGGCAAAATCGTAGTGCCTCCCAGGGTACAGCTCGTGGGTTCTCTAGACTCCCTGGCCCTGGGTGGGTTTTAAGGAGGCGGAAGTGGACTGTGGCTCTGGAGGGTGGGCTGGGAGGCCACGTCATTCCTCGAGCCCCTGCTCGGAGGAGGAAACTGAGGCTGGCTGTGCCGTGTAAGATGTGGGCCACGGGCTGTGGCTCGGCTTTGTGCGCGTAGGGCGCCTGTGAACACAGCACGTGAGGAGTCCGTGGTCTTGTGGGTGCATCGGGGCAGTGGTAGCAGAACGGTTGCTGCACCGCGCCCTGGGTGGTGGCTGGTCCTCTGCTGCTTCCCACACGTACGGTGAGCGTGACATCCTGCTGATGGCCCGGAGCCCAGGACGGGACCACCCTCACCTCCCCAGCTGCCGGTCACATCCCTGGTCCCAGAAACGGGGCAGCACTGCTGTGAGTAGATCGAACGGGGCTGTGTGGCTCACACGCCCGAGCGGATGTCGGATCGCTAGGTACCGACTTGCAGTTAGTGGGCACGTCAGTGCCCTGACTTCAGGACCCTTGTTCCTTCTTGACCTACAGCGCCGCGGTCCCCTCCCACCTTCCAAAGTTTAAAGCACAAGCATTGATGAGCTGGGTGATGTGCAGGCCGGTGGCCCAGGAGTTGAGGGTCCAGTGCCACATGTCCTGGGGGCCCACAGGGAGAGGGACCTGGCCAGGAGGTAGGCTGTGGCCAGGGGTGGCCCTGCTGGAGATGATGCGGGTCCCTGGGGCTGCCGTGAGGGGTGTGTCTGTCAGGGCCGGCCAGGTCAGGCCGGTGTGGGCACCTCCGGAGGCCTGGGGGCAGGCAGCTGTCTGCCTCCCTGTGAGCCTGGTGGCACCTGCTCCACACACCCGGGAGCCTCCCTGCCCAGGATGGATTCCGGCGGGAGCCCCACGCAGGTCAAGGGCCACAGCAATGCACGAGGACGACCGACCACGGCACAGATGGATTCCACGTGATGTCGTCTGCCACAGTTGGACCAGGTGCCTCCTCCAGCTCTTCAGTTGTAGGACGGGGTGGTGGCCACACTCGGCCTGAGGCCTTTTTGGGAACACCCACCCTCGTGAGCGACTTCTCCCTTCTCTGCCTCAACACAGAGATGCCCGGCCTCCTCTGTCTCCGGCCCATGCGAGCCCCTGGCCCTTGGCTGGACTTTCTGGGCAGCGTCCGCGCGTTCCCGGTGGAGACCCTAGGGCCCCACGCTTTTTCTGAGGAGCGTCCCACAAGCAGCAGGACATTCTCGCAGACTGCGCATTGCTGTGTTCAGTTAAAGATGATGGAATGATGCATGCCCACTCCACTCCGGGAGCAGGACGAGCTGGTGCCTCGGGAGCTGCCAGTGTCGAGCTGAAAGTGGCTGCGTTTCCAGGGCGGGGTCTGCCTGCGGCTTCGGCTCCTGGCCGGGACCTTCCCGAAGGCCCACCGTAAAACACCAGATCTGACGTCAGGAGCCCCAGTGGGGCAGCGTTTCAGGGCTCACCGCCCCCGGCTGCCCTGGGTGGCCACATACCAACAGCTGTAATTGAACACACCTACTTCTTTGCAATGCCAGCGCCCATATCACGGTCTGAAACCAGCCACCTCTAGCAGGTGGCTCACGGGGCACAGGGGACGAGATCGAGATCACCGGGGGTGAGAAGGGCCCGTCCCCTGGGCTGGCTTTGTCCTGGAAGTGATCCCTTGTGAGGACTCCCGGAGAAGGGGCTCGCAGCCTGGCCCAGGCTCCCCGTGTCTGTGCACCCCCTCCTCTGCCTTCACGGCCTTGGTGCAGTCGACATTTCATTGTGGTAAAGAATGGGGCTAAATTTTCCCCATCCGGGAAAAAATAGAAGAAACACCTGAGAGAGGATCGCCAGGGGGTGACCGTGAGGACAGAGATGGAAGGAAAACTGGGCCATGGGCAGAAAACAGAAGCAGCAGGCAGGTGTGTCCGCGGGGCGCCTTCTTTCGGTGGCCTCTGGCCAGGGCGGCCCCGTGGTGGGCTGGCAGGTGAGTGGGCGGCACTGACCTCAGCCCCAGCCCCTCTCGAGAACCCTGGCCGAGTGCCACCACTCACCCTGCCGCCCGGGGCCCCGGTCTGGCGGGAGGCTGGCTGGCGAGATGTCTGTGGGATTTTGACATGGTTTGCTCTGTCCAGCGGGGTTGTTTTCTGAGATGAGATTGTGAAGTTATCAGTCCCACACTTACAGAAAAGTTGCAAACGTACCAAAGAGAACCATTTGACATGGTGTCCAGACCTGATGCCCCGTCACCCCAAATACGCCCGTGTCTCTTTTCCACCGTTCTACTTGGCCACCCCAGCCGTCAGAACTGGGAGAGCCACTCAGGCCTGTTCAGGGTCCCCTGTTGTCTGTCTTTAGTTGTCTTGCCACGAAGGATACATCCGGTGACCACCTTGCGTGGCTCCCTTGCGGTCATGTCAGTGTGTCTGTGGGAGTGCTTGGCGTGAGGCAGTGTCCCCACCAGGGCCAGCCCACTGAGCACGCGCCCTTTGATCGCGTGGTTGAGGGGCGTCTGCCAGCGGTCTCCTATCAAATGATGGGTGGGTGTACCTCGTGACTGTGTCCTCTCCATTTATTTGCGTCTCCGTGGACTCACGGTTTTGTTGGTGAGTTACCCATGCCACATAGTACTTTACCCCAGATGCAGCACTGTACACGTGTGTGGTCTCACACTGTCCCTGCGGTCAGGGATCTGGGCAGCTTAGGGGTCCCTCTGGCTCTGGGTCCTCCACGCCATGTGGCCAGGGCATCATCCAGGGCTGACCGGGGCCAAGGGTCTTTCGGCGTCTGTGTCACTCACCTGGCTGCTGGCAGGCCACTGTTTCCAGCCGGTGGGTTGTTCCATAGGCCACTCGTGACATGGCTTCCCGTGAGCCCGAGATCCACGGGAGGGTGTGGAGGGGCGGACAGAGACCACACATGTGGTGTCCTGTGTAACCTCATACCAGCAGTGACACCTGTCACTCCTGCCACCACAGGTCACTTGCGCTCCCCGCCACGTGCATTGGTGGATGTGCTCCTCAGGCCATCACGGCGTCACTGTGTGTTTTGATGCCCAGCACGTGTGCCTTTGGACCGTGGAGGTGCTGGGTGCCGGCCCGCGTCCTCCCACGCATCCTTCGTTCCTCGTTCTCTGAGAGTGGCTTGCTTTCAGGCACAGTGAGGTGTCTAGGCCCCTCCTCCTTCTCTTGCCTGAAACCACTGTTCCGTGGGGAGCTCAGCTCTCACACTGGCCAGACTCCGGGCACCGCCCCGGGCCCAGCTGGTGTTCTGTGCGCCTGCACACACACTCATGTGTGCATCTATGCACACGTATGTCTGCTGTATGTTGAAAGCCGTGAGTTCGCTTGTCTCCTGATAGGTGCCAAAAGTTCTGTGCTCTGGCTTTCTCCCTTTCCACACGAGGCTCCCACGGTGATGGGGCAGAGATGGGTCTCCGTTGCTTCGTGGTTTTGCCCTTGGTGTCCTCTGGGAGAGCTGTGACTTTTCCCAGAGATCCGGGGCTCCTTCACAAATGCTCTCCTGGGTTCAGAGTTTTCCGGGCATGGGTGCCCCCGTTCCCCCTTGTCTCAAGTTACACGGTGCACCCCCTTCCCTTTGTGCGTTTTTTTTGGAGAGCTGTCCGGCCAGAGGCAGCTTAGGGTCCCTCCCCTCCCTGCACTCATCCCACGGGCACACGCACCTGCTGCAGCCTCGCTGTCCCAGGAGCGGCACTGTGCAGGTCCAGAGGGTCGTGCTTTTTGCAGACAGGCGGGTGAGAGATAGGGTGGGGCCTGAGAGGGGCTTCTGCAGAAATCCTGTGAATGGGAGGTGACTAGTAATGGTGTGGCACCGCCCTTTGCAGATCGAGTCGGGATTCTTCCACGAGAGCGACGTGAAGATTGTGGCCAAGTCCATCCGCGACCGAGTAGCATTGATCCAGTGGCGGCGAGAGAGGATCTGGCCGGCGCTGCAGCCCCTGGAGCAGCGGGACCCAGGCAGCCCCGACAAGGCCAGGGGCCCGCCCGCACCCCTGCAGGTCCAGGTGACCTACCACGCAAAGGCTGGGCCGCCGGAGCCCGAGGAACCCGAGGCAGACCAGCACCTCCTGCCTGCCGCGCTGCCGGCCAGCGCCACCTCCCTGGCCTGTGAGTGCCGTCCTCCCCGCGCCCGCGCCCCCAGCCCGCGCCTCAGGTGTGGACCGCAGGTGCGGGCGAGCGCTCTCCCTGGGGCCGGGGGGCACTGGGGTGTCTTTGGCTCGTGGAAGCCTAGTGTCTTGGGACAGGCGGGGACAAATGTGCAGAGTGATCCAGAACCTCCCGTGCCCCAAGCCAGTAGGAGGGAGTGGCTCATCCAGCTACTGCTTCTATGTGGAGGCCAGTCCTGGCCGCGGGGCCTGGTGGGGACATCCCCGCCGGACACCACTGCCCTGGGGCCGAGAACGGCTGCAGTCTCCCGTGGTCCTGGCGCTCTCAGCCGTGACCTTTGCTGCCAGGATTACATGTCCCTGAGGTTATCTCCCTTCTAGTGCCCGACCTTTGGCACCTTAACCCTGTTTCCCAGGGTATCACTGATGGCTTGTTGGGAATCACGCTGAGTCCCGGATGACTGGGAGAGGGAACAGAGGGTCCCCTGCAAGTCTGGGCAGAAGAACGGCCTGCCTTTGCTGTTAGTAGCCTAAAAATCCAGCTGTGGGCTGAGGGTTGAGGACGTGGCATCTTCCGCCCATTCTGTGAATAAGTGCGGATATGACTGTAGCCTACCTGGGCCACGTTTTTAGGCTGTTCGTGTGGAGAGGTCAAAACCTCCTGCTCGATTGATTTAATAGGAGCACGTCATTTATTGTTAAAACAATAGTGACGTTCTTCGAAGTAGGCTACTTAAATTCAAACCAGTAGCTAGCTGCTGCTTAGCGTGCTTGCCTCTGGCTTCCTCCCGACCCGCTGGCGTGCTCTGGAGAAGACGGGCACTGCGTCCTCATCCCACTTTTTGATAAGCCAGCGGTTAATCAACGGGCATAAACTTTGCATGGGAAAAGGCTCTCTGTATCGGGCACACTTCACACACCAAACACCTGGCTGTTTGAACAGTTTCTAGGCAGGAGAGACACCCGGACCTGGAACGCAGTCTGCCGGGGTCAGCTGTCCCTGCACAGACTCGACCTGCTGTGCAGACACGGATCGCACGGTGGCTCAGCATGGGTGGGGGTTCTGTCTGCAGACACGGTCTCCCTGTCGATCCAGGGCGGTTCTGTGCGTTCATTGTAAGTTCTGTAAAGCAGATAACGTGGTCACGTCGTGTAAAATTCAGACAGTACCAGGGGGTGTGCAGCAGAGGTCAGTTACTCTTCCTCCTTGGAGGCCACTGGTGTTGCCTGTCTCTTAATGGTAACTTCCAGAGATAATGTGTGCATAGAATCATTCACGTGCACCCACACGTATGTGCATATATGCACACGTGTGCTTGCAGCAGAACCCACACACATGGGTGTCCGCAACGTACTGAGCATACTCGCACACACAAAAGCCGTGTGCTTTGCGAAGGTGAGATGACGGGGTCCGGGCTGCACACACATCACTGAAAAAGGGACCTGATCTTAAGTAGCAAGGTGGGTGGGCAGATGCATGCATGTCAGAAGGTACAGCAGGTATCATGCTGTGGGGTTCTCCACCACAAGCTGCCCATCTGAGCCCAGATCAAGTTCATTGAGAAGGTGTGGGCCAGCACCCAGTGGCTGCAAGAAGGCGCTTTGTCAGTAGGTTTAAAAGATTTTTTTTTAAGTTTACTTATTTATTTTGAGAGAGAGAGAGTGAGAGAGGATGTGAGCAGGGGAGGGGCAGAGAGAGAGGGAGAGAGAATCTCCAGCAGGCTTCCACACTGTCAGCACAGAGCCCAGCTCAGAGCTCGAACCCCTGAACCATGAGATCACGATGTGAGCCCAAATCAAGAGTTAGACGCTTAACCAACTGAGCCACCCAGGTGTCCCTAAATTTTTAATTCTAGAAATAACACATTCCCTTTATTTTTTTTAGGATTAGAATTCAGTGATTCATCACGTACATACAACACCCAGTGTT